ACTTCCCAAATGCTGGCTGCAGTACCGTTAACCCCAGCAGATGTGGACAGCTTACCCCAGGCACAAAGGTATGATTTGGGGACAAGAACAAAATGGTGATGCTGGTATTGCTGTAGAGTCTGCAAGGTCTAGTACTTTGCAAGCAGGAATTGTAACAAAAATTTTATCATCTACTGAGTTAAATGTTCTTAAATCCTGCAACTTTATAGAGCTTGATTTAGGCTCTATAGTTTAGGCTCTATATCTTTAACTCGCTGATTTAGGTGAGTGCAAGAGAGGGAGAGATGGGAGCATGTGAAGTTTTTTATTTTTTTCTGTTATCGTGACTTATTTATGTGTGTACATGTAGAACAAAAGCAGTAATGTTTTTGCCTTACGTTCTCAGGAATCTTTCATCTCTTCAGAATTCTATCTTCCAAGAACCAAACACACCAGCTTCAGAGCATATCTCTTCTGCTTCTCATGATCAAATACAAAGAGAAGGTATTGACAGTATTTAAATGGTGCAGAGATTGCTATCACCTATTCCTTATGCCTAGTATTGAATTTGATGTCTCCTTTCTTTTGAGAGCAGAAATATATCAAGTAAAGATTTTAGTTTTTCTCTGGGTGTTGAACTTTTGCTATATGGATGTTGCAAATAAAGAAATAATTGATGTTGTGGATCAGATAAGAGCATCTATTATGGGAAATGGTCAGAGGATACTCAAAAGTACTTACAGGCATCTGAAAAATTACCTTGCTCTGGAATTGATGAGCTATGTATTTAAGCTGCTGTTACAGTCACTGAGACAGCATTTCCTCTTCTGTTAAACACCACTGATGAATCAGTCATATGGTTCTGAAAATCTTCTGACTGCTTTCACTGCAGTGAGAATCCTGGATACCTGGTCTGCATAACTAAACTTAGAGTATTACTGTTGTACTGAGACACTTTTTTTCTGTTTATGTATGTTGCATTTCTCCAGCTTAATTGTCATTAACTGGACATGTTGACATTTTGTTTTCCTCTTCCAGAACCCAGTGGTGAAGATACTCATGGGCCAGGATCTTCTGCATTTCTCACTAAGTTCTCAGAATACCCGAGGTAATGAAGATGAAGCTCTGACTTCACAAACACTATTTTAGACTGAGAACAGCTTAATTAGACACCTAGGAAAAAGCTCTGGCCTACAGATTTCATATAGTCACTAATTTAAGAGAGGCCTCCCTTCTTAAAGCAAACATGCTATCTTTTCACAAGATCTTGGTTTCTACTTGGGCACAAATCAAAAGGATGCAGAACTGGCAAGCCAAAGTTAATGAAGAGCTTGAATTGAATGCTTCTAAAATTCTGTGGGTTTTTTTTCTAGAAAATCTGAGGATTCTTAGAATGGTGATTTTACAAGATAGCTATAAAGTAGTCTTAAAATACTGAGACTGGAGAGGTAAGTAAAAATGTTGAGTAGAATATGAAGTAATTTAAGTATTCATAGAAAACAAATAGAAGTTACCTTACCCTGAATGGATGTGTCAGTGCACAGCTTTCATGTAGGTGTGTTCTCTTTTAGATGGGAGCACTGAACTCTTTACAAAAGGTCCCTTCACAGAAAGCATATACTCACAATTTAATAAAAAGTGTCAAGAAAAAGGAATGAGCTTCTTGTATAGCTCATTTCCCAAACACTGCTGATTCCTTTGGGTCACGGGCTGTTGTCTCCAACAGTCCTTGCCTCAACAGGCAGCAGCTTGCAGTTCACTGAAACAAACCCTTGGCTTTACTGACCCTAAAGCAGCACCTGGTCTCCTCACAGGTACCCTCAGGGCAGCAGCATTGCAGGAGAACTCGTGAAAGGAGCTTTGTCAGTTGCTGCTTCTGCCTACAAAGCATTATTTGCTGGACCACCCATTATTGAACAGGTGAATGTCTTTCTGTGTGCTGTGTGAGTGTCGTAGAATGACAACCTTAAATTTACAGGCGTATGTTTTTTAAGTGTATCAATATTCTATATTGGAGTTAATGTAAGAGTAAAATGTTAAGTTTGATGGTGTCTCTTTGAGGTTTGCTGTTCTCAGCAGACTGGGAAATCCATGCCCTAGGGATGAAAGCATGTCATTATGTAAGAGTAGTGGCTCACTTTGGTAAGTGAGCAGTGAAAGGGATTATAAATAGCTTAAATGGGGCCAGAAGAGCCTCTGTGCCTCAGTTTGGTTCTAGTATAATGCAGGGCTGCTAGTTCAAATGGCAAAAAATAAATTGGCTTTTTAAACTTACCTTACTCCCTTTTGTTTTCAGCAGCCTGCAGCTCCAGAAGAGCAGACTGCCTCTCTGCTGTCCAGTCTGTGTGAGATGGGATTCTGTGACAGGCAGTTAAACCTGCAGCTGCTGAAGAAACACAACAATAACATGATTGAAGTGGTGACTGAATTGCTTCAGATCAGTAACAGAGACTGGTGCAATAGGTGCTAAAGCTGCCTGGTGGAGAGAGGAATAGTCTTCATTGAGTAAACTCTAATTAAAGATAGTGAGAGTAGCAGGCTGCTCCTCAGCTGCTCTCTGTTTGGAGGTTTGACTTAAAGCTTCAGCTTTTCTCTGAGCATTTTACTTCTTTTTCTTTTCCCCCTCATGGAAATGTCAAACAATCCTTGTGGCATCTCTTGAAATGGATACCAGAATTTCAGTTATGATTTGGACCTTTTAGTTAAATGAGTAGTCTTTAAGTCTCTGATTTCAGATCAAATCCTTTTACCAGGTAGTCACGTAGAATTAAACGTTATACCCAGATGAGAACTTCCCATTTTATTGTGTATATACTTTTTATTTTAGGCAGCTGGAAATTTTTTGTTGGCTTAATTAGCTTTGGAATAGAAACCAGCGTAAAATGCTGCTCTAAAATGTAGTCCTGCTTAATTTACAAGAGATGCCTGCAACTAGGAGTTTTTGTTTCTTCTGAGGATTTAGTAACTGGTTTTCCAATGTGTGATAGTAAAGTGACAAATTTAAATCTTAAAAATTATTCTAAGAAAAAGAAGTTGCTCATAAAAGAAAGCCATCTTGAATCATCAAATGACTTTTGAAAAGTCTAAAAGTGTAACTGCAGTTCAACTGATGAATTCCAGTAAAGTTGTTGCTTCTTGTAGCAGAATGAAGCAGAATTACACCAGCAATTGAACCTGTAATGATAGTGCACACCAGATCCCTAAGAGTAGAAGTATAACCTACATAAAACATTTTGTTAAAAATGGAGTGTCAGGGTAGGAAAGACTTTTCTAGGAATCTTAACAGGCTCTTAGTAAAAATATTAAAAATTTGACCATTATCTTTTTTCACGATAGTGCAAACATTTTTCTCTGTTAATACCACATAAAAAATGCAAGAATGTGTAGGAACCCAGACCTGAACTGGAGTACAAATTTTGGTAATGTTTAGGAATGAAAAGAATGCTTGAAGAAGGGATCACATAACTTTACATTAGAGTTTGAAAAATGCATTAACTTAAGCACTTTCAAATGTACAGTCTCCTCTGATGGTTTTAGCTGGTCCTGTGTTTCCATAGCCACATCTGTAGAATTCATTTTCTCATAAGATTTTTAGATACCAAGATTTAATTTGGAAATCTAAGAATTCCCTTCTAAATATGCTGAGAGATTTGATTCTGAAGAATGACATAAATGAGCACCAGCCACTGCTGTGCAGTGGGGTATCCAGATAACTCCTCAGAGTTCAGTCCCTCAGCAGGTGACAGTGTTGGCTATGTTCTTATGTTCGTACTTTCAAGTAAACATTTTTTCCTTGCTGCAGTAAGAGACCATTGATTCTGAAGTATTTTATATTGCTCCTGCTTCAAACTAGTATTCTGTTTTGTCACAGTGTCAGTATTGTGCTGACCAGGTTATCAGTAATTTTTAAAAAGACTTTAGTACCCATAGAGATAAAATGCCATTGAAATAGTTGAAGAAAACAAATGTATCATACCACTTTCGTTTTAAACCTATTTTTATAGATTGTGGAAGATATACTCTTAAATGTTTATTTTGAAATACAGTAGAAGTATTTTGCAGTGTTTCCCCATCTCTCTGTACACCAGTACAACTATGTGCTGTGGACCAGTTAAAGATCCTTCTGTAACTTTCCACCTTGGGTGTGTTGTTTTGAGTATCTTTTTACTAATGCCAGCTGTAGAGCAAGGAGGAGGAAGGACAGAGGTGAAATGCAGAAGCTGATGAGACTTTGAAGCACAGTGTGGTTTTATATTTGCTGGGGTCTGTCAGGCCCAGCAGGACCCACGTTTGCCATGTGTACCTTTGTACATGGAATGTTCATGTGTTCTATAAAGTACAAAACTAAAGCATTTGAGGAGGAGCACTTCACTGCAGATTGAAGTAGCAGGTGTGAGATGCTGTTCTCTTTAGGCTCCTTTTTCCTAGAGTTTAGATGCTGTATGCTCAGGCTTAAAATAGCTATATTTCTGTTGGCTTTGTATATTTTGCTAATGGATGCATGATATAATTTATAATATATTCTACAGAGCAGATGTGCCCTCTGTGTCTCATTTCGGGCGAGCACAGGCGCTGGGGGTTGGGGTGGGGTTGTAACCCAGCTCCTGCCGCGGGCTCCGGGCCAGCACGGGCGGTGGGCGCGGCAGCCCAGCCCGGCTGTTCCTCGGGCTGCCCGGGGCACACTCCGCTCCTCCGGCCGGGGCTTGGGCAGGGCCGAGCAGGCCGGGCCTGAGGGGCCGGGGACAGAAGCGGAGCCACAAGTCCCGGGGCCGTTCTGCTCCGTGCCCCGAACGCGACACTCGGGCTGCCCACAGCTCGCCGGCCTTGGCTGGGGACGGAACCGCTTTGGTTGGGGAAAGCCTTTGCACGGCCGCGCCGGTTCGCACAGCAGCAAGGCTCAGTGCCCAGCAAACCCCGCCCGTTGGCCCGGCACGGCCCGGTTTTATCCCGGTTTTATCCCGGTTTTATCCCGGTCTCATCCCGGCTCGGCCCCGCTCCGCTGTCCCGGGCCCGCCCCGCTCCCGTCACGGCGCCGCTTCCGGCGCGCCCCGGACGCGGCCGCGGCGGCCATGGCGGAGCTGGCGGCGGCCGAGGAGCTCGCCAAGCTCGAGTACCTGTCGCTGGTGTCCAAGGTCTGCACCGAGCTCGACAACCACCTGGGCATCAACGACAAGGACCTGGGTAAGCGGGGCGGCCGCGGTGAGCTCCGCGCTCCCGGACAGGGGCCGGCTTGCGCAGGGCCGCAGTAGCCCTTTCCGTGCGGCCGGGTGCGTTTTGTGAAGGTGCTTTTCGATTTTGGACGTTAAAAAGCAGTATTTTTCTTAAAAAAACCAAAACCTGTGAGCCTGAGGGAACGCTTCGATGTGGGCTGCCGGGGAGAGCCGAGGAGCAGCTCCCCGGGGCCCGGCTGGTATCAAAGCGGCTCCTGCCCCACGTGCAGTCCTTACTCTGCTTATTTACTTCCATGGTTCTGTTTACTCTGTGTTTTTTCCTCACAGCCGAGTTTGTCATAAGTCTCGCCGAGAAAAATACCACGTTTGACACATTTAAAGCAATTCTTCTGAAGAATGGTGCTGAGTTCACTGTAAGTGACACCTGAATGTTGTTTATGTGTTATTCTTGTTGTGCCATATTTTATAGAGCTTTCCGATTTAAAGAGAGAGTTGTGAGGGGTTATTATTGGTTTTCTTCAATTGGGAGACTGCATACTAAATAGCTTCTGATATTCCTGCTCCTCTGCCTTCCCCTTCCTCATATTTTTAAAAAAAATTTGTAGTCTTTGAAAAGCCTCTTCCTGAGGACTCAAACTGTTTATTGTTGTGTTGAGCATATAAAATATGGAAGAAACAAATTTTCATGAAGGCAGATGTTGTCGTAAGTCTTCTTAGGATGCTTATATGCTGTATTTATTGATGCCTCAGGAATAACTGTACTTGGATTAAATAGTTGATTAAAATTATTAACAGAAAAGTCACTTAGATGAAATTATCCTAATTATTTTTGAGTTCAACTACGCCTTTTTAGGGCATACATAAAACCCGGTGATAGTTTCTAAAAATCAACCTGTATCTTCAGAATTGAGCGTATTTTGTCCTGCAAATAAACCCCCACTTGTGCCTTCTAATAATGAAAGTGTTGCAGTCATTTCCTGAAGTATTTTATTGATTTTTTTCAGGATTCCCTCATCAGTAACTTGCTCCGTCTCATACAGACGATGCGGCCTCCACCAAAACCATCCACGAGCAAAGGTAGGTGGGGTGAGACTGATGCTGCTCCTGCTGTAGTCTTGTAAGGCAAATCCTATTGCACCAAACATGCTGCTGCTGTTATTCTGAGGGTGCTGCTCAGAGTGTTCAGTCTTTCAAATACTCACTAATAATCAGAATTTTCTCTGAAGAAAGGCAACACGGTGTTCCTTGAATTGAATCTTTGTAAAAGCTGTATCAGCCTTTGCGTTCAGACAAAAATTAAACTTTATATTCAATTATAGAAAAATGAAGAGTGAATTGTTGTAGCAGTTCTAAGTTATGTGTTTCATTGTGCTTTTTTTTTTTCTTTTTTAATCTCAAATTCAGAGGCAGTTGTCAAACCTAAATCAGAGAAAGAAAAGTTGAGGGAACTGTATCCAGCCCTTTGCAGGCCAGACAATCCCAACATCAGGGTAAGTTGTCATTTCAGATTTTTTCTGTGACTGTGTGAAAACTTTTTTTTTTTTTCCCCAGTTAGTTTCAACCTTTTTCCTCTGTCTAATGCATGGATAAATGTGAACTTTGAGAAATGAAATGTGGAAGAGGTAGAAGGCTGGTGTTACTGCACATTGTTGCAAAGAATAGCTGTTAACAATTGCCATGTTAATACTATTTTGCAAAATATGTGGAGGATGAGACTCTTGTGACATGATATTTGTAGCCTGGCCTTCCTTACATAATGATCAAAGTAATGATGTGTTACAAACGAATTTAAAATGTTGTATATTCAGAAGCTATAAGAGACTTGGAATTTGTATTTCTGTAACAATTTGGGGCATTGAGATGGAACTTTCTATTGTATAAAAGCAGAATTGTCTCAATATTGTGGCCAAACAGGGAGAGTGCTTTATTACTTTTTTTTTAATCACATATTGAGTCTGATCTTTTTTTATCTTTCATTCTTTCTAAATAGATACACATATGACAATAATTCTGTAGATTAATTCTTAGTGACAAGCTTTTTATCAGCCCTTTTGCAGAAAGGGGCATCAGTTTTTTGTTCTTGCAGAATATGCTGGATGAAGACGATGTGAAAGTGGCAGCTGATGCCCTGAAAGAGCTGGAAGCTCTGATGCCCAGTGCTGACAGGCCGGGCAAGCAGAGGGACAGCGACCATCGGTAGGTGCCTTGTGTGTCTGGGGGGAAGGTCTTGGCTGCTCTTCTTGCCTGAGGTGGAAATCCACTGCAAAGATCTAATTTTGGTTTGTTAGGGCGAAGAAAAGGAAGAGGAGCCGAAGTCGTAGCAGGGACAGGAAGCGAAGGCACAGATCTCGCTCCAGGTCCCGTTCCAGGACTTGGGACAGGAACAGGGGAAAATCCAGGTACCGGTCGAGGAGCAGAAGTTGGAGTCCCAGTAAGGACCGCAGGGATCGAGAGAAGTACCTTGAAAAGAGCCACGAGAGGTGGAGAGACAAGCACATAGACCGGCCACCGGCTGAGGAGCCATCCATCGGGGACATCTACAACGGCAAAGTCACGAGCATAATGCAGTTCGGGTGCTTTGTGCAGCTGGAAGGACTAAGGTACCCTTGGATGTTTACTGCAGATCTGTTTCAGCTCAGTTCTCTTTTCTGCTGGTACCTTAAAGATGTGATGAAGCTACCAGCAGTTATTCTGGGCTTTGAAGGGCTGTTTCAGGAAAGTAAGTTTGACAGTAGAAAATTATAAAATTCTCATTACAAAAACTAGTTTGTGGGCATACACAATCTGTTGACAGCAACATATTTTAATATAGTTTCTGAGTGATCTGAAGGGCTGTCAGAGCAGTAGTGTGCCCCTCTCATGCCCCTCTGTTTCACTCCCAGGAAACGCTGGGAAGGCTTGGTCCACATCTCAGAGCTGCGAAGAGAAGGACGGGTTGCCAATGTTGCTGATGTTGTGAGCAAAGGACAAAGAGTGAAAGTCAAAGTGTTATCTTTTACTGGATCCAAAACAAGCCTGAGCATGAAGGTACAGAGGTGCTAAAATTCTTAAAATGATGCCTCTTCTAGCTATTTTTCACTCTTTTTGATGAAAACTAATACATAACCATTTAGTTGGGAGTTAAAATTTACTGTTCTGTATTTAAGTGGCCTATTACTTTTTACATGTTTTCTCTAGTTCTGATGTAACAATTTCTTGGCTTGACATGATATCAAAGAGACAAGGCAAGGCAAACCTCAAGCTGTTGCTGTTTGTCTTCCTTTTTTAATTTTAAATGAAATCACTACTATTGCCAAGACAGAGTGTTCCATGCCTGAGGATGTTCTTACCTGGCAGTACCAGGTGAAAAAGACCAAAAAGCCTACAAAACAGCATTTTCTGTGAACAGGACGTTACTGCCACTAGAAATCACCAGAGTTAATGGATGAGAAGTGCAGAGCTGATTGATTAATCAATCCATCTGATGTAGGATGTTGATCAAGACACTGGGGAAGACTTGAACCCAAACCGTAGAAGGAATCTGGTTGGAGAAACCAACGAAGAAACCTCCATGAGGAACCCAGACAGACCCAGTCACCTGTCCCTGGTGAACGCCCCCGAGGTGGAGGACGACAGCCTGGAGCGGAAACGCCTCACCCGCATTTCTGACCCAGAGAAGTGGGAGATAAAACAGGTCTGTGCTGCATTCAGGGAAATAAGATAAAGGTGATAAAGTTGCCAGGGAGTTTAATGAGCTAGAATACAGCTCCTGGATTCATTGATTGTGTAACTTACTCATTAACTTGGAATTGCTGGCTTTGGATCTGGGATTGTTTTGTTGCTATTTGGAGTAACAGAAGGAGTGTTTGGTCAGAGGATGGGTGAGTTATGGAGAGGATACAGGATACGGAACCATTCCTTTGTTCCTGTTTTACTGGAATGGGGTTAGAACTGAGTCATAGGCATGACTTGTGTTTGTTCATGGGGACATATTCATGGTGTATTCATTTTGTTCCCAGATGATTGCAGCTAATGTGCTTTCCAAGGAAGAGTTTCCTGACTTTGATGAGGAGACTGGGATTCTTCCTAAAGTTGATGATGAAGAAGGTAGTATTTCTCAGCAGTCTTACTATTCTAAATTCCACGTCTTTCTGGATGTATTTTTATTCAAAAATATATTGATGATAGAAGTAACTATAAAACATCTCACAATTGGCTGTCAACTGGGGTTCCTCTGGCTGTAGTAATAGTGGCATTTGGGTGTGCCCTGTCTGTGCATTTTTATTTGTAGTGTTTTCACATTTAAAACTCCTAAGTACCTCATATTTAAAAATACACAGGAAGCATTATTTGAAGAGGCACTTTTATGTACCCCAAAGATGTTTAACTTTTCTGTTACAATTGTCACTTGTGAATTTTAGATGAGGATCTTGAGATTGAGTTAGTTGAAGAAGAGCCACCATTTCTTCGAGGTCACACTAAACAGAGCATGGATATGAGTCCCATTAAAATAGTAAAGGTAAGAGATTTCCAGGGCTAAAACCAGTGTACTTGATTAAATGATATAAATATTTGTGAATTTAATAACCAGTTTTCTACCTGCTTATTACTGAGAGCCCTGAAAAACATAACCACTGAACTCCTTCCAAATAAAGCTGGGTTCTAACTTAACTGGTGACTTGTGAAGTAGAATAATGGAACTGAAATGCCATTTTACATAGGTGTGTTAGAAGAAAATTTCACTGTTCTGCTTTTTCTTATCTTTTGAAAGTAGAAGGTAGTAAATACTTCTCATTGGCAGTGCCTATAATGGGCACAGTGTAAAGATGGGCAGTGTAAGGATGCTCCATATTAGTTATCACTGTAAAAGTTGATGAGGCTAGCCTGATGGAAGTACCCTGGAAATCCAGTAAACAAAATTTAACATTTTTAAAGCATGCTTCTAAAATGAAGATGCTTCTAAAAGACATTGACAACAGGAAGAGAATTGAAGGTGAAGGAATGGCAGTGCTTGAAGTCTTTTCTTCTTGCTCTCCAGAATCCAGATGGTTCCTTGTCCCAGGCTGCCATGATGCAAAGTGCCTTAGCTAAAGAGAGGCGTGAACTGAAACAAGCCCAGAGAGAAGCAGAGATGGATTCCATCCCCATGGGCCTCAACACACACTGGGTGGATCCTCTCCCTGATGGTATGTCTGAACACAGAAAAACTGTGCTTTTTTTGTGCTAAAATGTCTTCATACTGTCATTGTCTGCCACACTTTAAAAGTGAGCCAAAGAAGAAATGCTTTTCCACTGAAATGGAAATAGGAGTGTCAAAGGAAGTGTACAGGTATTTCCTGTAAAAGTGGAGATATCCATTTGAAAACTTAAAAACCATTTAAACACACAGAATAGAAGGCCTGGATGATAGAGCAGTTGGAGCAGGATCATCAGGGTCTGTGCAGTGTGAATCTGGATGTAATGATGAAATGGTTTATTTTCTAGTGGATGGAAGACAAATAGCTGCAAACATGCGAGGCATTGGGATGATGCCAAATGATATCCCAGAGTGGAAGAAACATGCATTTGGTGGCAACAAAGCTTCTTATGGTAAGAAGACCCAGCTTTCCATCATTGAACAGAGAGAGAGTCTCCCAATCTTCAGACTGAAGGAGCAGCTGATACAAGTAAGACTCATAAAAAGGCATTCTGGTTTGAGCAAGCAGTAATTTAAAATAAAAATAGTCTTGGTTTAGCTTTTTGACAGGTGAATAGCCAGCTGATAATTTTAAGTGCAGAACTTCACGATATGTATTTTAAAGTATATATATCTGTATACTCTAAATTAAGTTCCAAATATTTGTTGATGTAAGTCAAAATTGATACTAAGATCATGTGAGCAAGGGATAAGCCAGTTGAGCAGTTAAACAGGTTGCTGACTTGATCAGTAGGAATACTTAAATGATTTTTGGTCTGGGTCAGTTGAAGCAAAAGCAAGAGCTGCTTAATCTAGTCCCAGATAGCCTGTGCTGATTTAGTTTGGTTTTGATTTTTAAAAAAAATTTACAAGGGTATGTTTTCTGATCTTTTCTAGGCTGTGCATGACAACCAGATTCTGATTGTTATTGGAGAGACGGGATCTGGGAAAACAACCCAGATCACCCAATACCTGGCTGAGGCTGGATATACCTCCAGAGGGAAGATTGGATGTACTCAGCCTCGCAGAGTGGCTGCAATGTCTGTTGCAAAGAGGGTGTCAGAGGAATTTGGTTGCTGCTTGGGACAAGAGGTGAATTTCCATGTTGAAGAACATGCCAAAATAAGCATGAAAAGTAGGAAAAATCAGTACTGGAGCTAGTTTTATTGTGTGTCCATGTGTCTGTTCTCTTGTAGGCTGTAAAGTGAGTTTGTGGAATAATCAAACTGGGAGTTAATGAGGCTGATCACTGTGTAACTTCTGTTTCTGTGCAACTCTTCCCCTCCAGGTTGGCTACACCATTCGTTTTGAAGACTGCACCAGCCCTGAGACTGTCATCAAATACATGACAGATGGGATGTTACTGAGAGAGTGCCTGATAGACCCAGATCTCACCCAGTATGCCATCATCATGCTGGATGAGGCCCATGAGAGGACCATTCACACAGATGTGCTTTTTGGGCTCCTGAAGAAGGTAATGTAGCACTGGATTTTTACTGCTTTCAGTGTCCTCTCTGTGGGTAGGAGGGCACAGGCAAAGGTGAAGTCACACAAGTTAGGTTCATACATGTGCTTCAAGAGCAAATGCTCTTAAGGGTTTGTAGTCTGAATCTTAGTGAAATGAGCCTCTGTGTGAAGGCAGAGCAAGCAAAATGCAGCAGAAACAATGAGAATTTTCCATCCTGGATGTTGATAATGGTGGATGAACAGGGGAGTGTTCTTGTTTTGCTCATCCTGCTCTGTCAAAACCTTTCTTGTGGTAATGTTGCTAAGGGAGGCTTCAAATGGGACCTCAGTGGTCAATTTTCTGAAATCCTGAGTACTGGGATGAGCTGCCCCTCTACTCAGCTTTGAAACACCTTTTATTACTGGTTGTATTTGTCTAGCTTCAGGCAAGTGCCATATTTTGATAGTTCCAAAGGCAATGAATGACTTGAGAACTTTGTCCTCCTGCAGACAGTGCAGAAACGGCAGGACATGAAGCTGATCGTGACATCAGCAACGCTGGATGCTGTGAAATTCTCTCAGTATTTCTATGAAGCACCAATCTTCACAATTCCTGGCAGAACATACCCAGTAGAAATTCTATACACAAAAGAGCCTGAGACAGATTATTTGGATGCCAGTCTTATTACAGTAATGCAGATCCATTTAACAGAGCCACCAGGTGAGTAGAGAATGGTTTTGGGTTACTGGTGAGCAAGGTCTTTCTGTGAGACATGGATTATGTTAGTAATGAGAGCAAAATGCTGTCGGGACTGTTCTTTCTTGTTTGCAAATACAGTAACTAAAATGCTGGAAAAGTTGGGTGAAAGACTGAAGTTTGTTGCATTTGGCTAAGAGTTGCTAGCAAAAGTTGGAGATCCTCACCAAAGGAAAACATGAGGAATGAAAATATGGTGATGCAGGAGTTGTAATGAACAGAATTGATTCTGTGGATGTTTTAATTTGCTTCCTGTGTAGGTGACATTTTGGTCTTTCTAACTGGCCAGGAAGAGATTGACACTGCCTGTGAAATCCTCTACGAGAGGATGAAATCTCTAGGACCTGATGTTCCAGAGTTAATTATCTTGCCAGTATATTCAGCTTTGCCCAGTGAAATGCAGACCAGGATCTTTGACCCAGCCCCACCAGGGAGCAGAAAGGTAATTTCATGTATGAGCCCTTTCATCTTCTGCTGATAAATTTTAATAGTGGGGTGTATTACACTGCTGAAAGGATACAGTTTTTGGAGAAAAGATGATCTACAGCTTAGAGCATATTTTTGGTTGCATACATATCAAGTTATCTAAGCCTTTGAACACGTGTAAAAACATCTGGTGTGGCAAACCTCTGTGTGGAGTGTTCTTGGTGTGTTATTTAATGCTGTCTTTAAAGGATGCTAACTTAAGTTAATCTCAAAATCTAAAAGCACTTCTTATTGCATGGAAGTAAATTTCCTACCAAGCAGCTAGTGAATATCTAGAGATAAATTCTCAAAAAGATTTTTCTCTGAATACAGGCTGTGTCTGAGTGATTTTTTACCTAAATCCCCCTGAAGTCAGTGCAGTCTGCTTACAAGCTTTCTCTTGCTTTTAATGGTGCATTTTATCACACACTTTTCCTTTTTTGTTTAGACTTTAAACAAAGGTAGATACTTAAAACCAGTCCGTCTTTATAGATAACATCTCCTTCTGTTCCCTGTGAACACATTTCTGCTTTCGACATTAAGTGACAGTGGTTGCATTTGTAACAAACTGCTCATCTTATACCAGTGGATGAAGTTGAGTGGTGGAGTTGGCTTGGCAGCCTGACACAGAACTGGTGCTGACTCAAACTGTGATTTGCAGGTTGTCATTGCCACCAACATTGCAGAGACATCTTTGACTATTGATGGAATATATTATGTGGTTGATCCTGGCTTTGTGAAGCAGAAGGTTTATAACTCCAAGACTGGAATTGACCAGCTGGTGGTGACACCGATTTCCCAGGTAGATATTTGGCTCTCCCCATGGGTATTTTGTGTCTTGCCAATGTGGCATCCAAGCACAAGTGAGCAAAATGAGGCAATGATAAACCCACATTTCTGATGTGCCTCCTTGAGGCTGTGCCTACAGAATACATACTTCCCTGTGTTGTATTGAAATCCTTTCTATCAGTACAAGTAAAATTGTGAATAGCCATTTTATTTCACTTGTTTTTACCTGTTCCAGTTTGTACCTGTTCACTGAGATGCCTTGTTATCTTTAGGCTCAAGCCAAGCAGCGTGCAGGCAGGGCTGGCAGAACAGGCCCAGGAAAATGCTACAGGTTATACACAGAACGTGCATATAGAGATGAGATGCTGACCACCAACGTGCCTGAAATCCAGAGAACAAATCTGGCCAGTACAGTGCTCTCCCTGAAGGTAGGTATTTCACCAGCTTGTAGCAAGCCAGTGTGGTGTTTCAACAAATGAGTCTCTGCCTTTGAGTCTCAGGAAGCAGTGCTGTAATTTCAGATCCTTCTAGTGAACAGAGGTAGTTTGGAAGGGAGACTTGAACAAAAGCAATTTTCAGACACTGGGCTTGCTCCTCTGTTTTTCTTTTGAGGGCTAGAATAGTTTGGATAGCCAAGCTAAATTATGAGTTTCAGCTGCACAGAACAGATAATTGTAAGAGGTAGGAGAAACAGAAATCTCAAGCAGTACCATTTCCTACGTAGGGGACATTTATATTGTTGACAGATGAGATGCATTGTTTTAGAGTGGGTTTAAAGCTGCAAACCTGGGCGTGTTTAAGTGTGTACCATCCCTTTGGAAGTCTGTGACCTGGATTAACCCAGCCACAGCTGGGAAAGTGATGCCATTCCTCTTTCTGGGAGCACACTTCAGGTCCTGTGGCGCTGTCAGGCCACACTGCATTAGAAGACACAAGTCCCAAAAGCAGCATTTAGTTTATGTTTCTCCTCAACTGAATCATCTTGCTTGAGGATGTGTGGAACAGTCCCAAAAGGACAGGCCAGAAAGCTGAGTAGTGCAGGAATGTCTTGGGGCAGTGCTCATTATTTCAAGTGTAGGAAGGCAGCTGTGTATTCATGGCTGCACCTGCAGTCAGGATAAGGACATGAGCTTAGGGTTGCCTAAAGTTTTGTAGTGCCTCACTGTTTGGTGTTGTATCTCTGGCTGGAGTTTGTTGCCTTCTTTCTGAATGTTTTAACTTGGCTTTTCTCCAATCCTTCTCAGGCTATGGGCATCAATGATTTGCTGTCCTTTGACTTCATGGATGCTCCCCCCATGGAAACTCTCATTACTGCCATGGAGCAGCTCTACACCCTGGGAGCTCTGGATGATGAGGGGCTGCTCACTCGACTTGGGCGCCGGGTAGGCAGAACAAAATACCTCTTACCACTGCCTGGGTTGCCAACATTCAGGGCATGTTATGAGAGAAGTCCTGGCAGGCCTTGCTTAGCATTGTTGGTTTCCTTTTGCTGTCATTCTCTAGTGGCTGAATATTTTTCACAGAATGCCTTGAAACATGTTTCTTGCAGATGGCAGAATTCCCCTTGGAGCCTATGCTGTGTAAGATGTTGATCATGTCTGTGCATCTGGGATGCAGTGAGGAGATGCTGACCATTGTCTCCATGCTGTCTGTGCAGAATGTGTTCTACAGGCCAAAGGTGAGGAGCTGAGCCAGAGGCAGCAGTGTTAAAGTCTGGGTGGATTTGGTCTGAATGCCTCAGGGGCTGAGTGAGCATATTTCCCAAAAGACACTTGTAATTTGGTCAGAACATTTGTTTGTGCATTACCTCTCTGATCCTTTTCATTTAAGGGCCTGAAGCTGTGCTGTTGGTAGTTTCTTTGCAGATGGGAAGGTAGAAGTGGAAAATTATACAATTGGTCTTGCATTTGCCAGCAAACACATACACCCTAAACCAAGTCAGTCCCAGCTCTGGAGTTCAGACTGCCTTTGCATTTTCAGATACACAGAAAGTATTTCTTCATGGCACCTCTATCGTGTGCTGATTTCTTTTAAGTCAGTAAGCAACATGCTCTGCTGTGGTGGGATCATGTTTGTCTTGGATCCTTTACTTCTTCAGGGTAGTTAACTTCAGTTTTGATCTATGTAACTGCAGTATTTGATTAATGTTTTATGTGCAGATGGGAGAGGTGTGTGGATCACCAGGTCAAACCTACTGCTTCAGCACATTTCTTGATGAATAACTGAATTAATTTGTAGAGCAGTAAGAAAACCAGTTAGTGCAGTGTGTGCATATGCTTCCTGCAGTATGAGCCATTTACTTTGATGTATTCTTTCAAAAATAGGGACTGAAACTGAAAAAAACATTCTGTGTCTTAATCCTGTATCATTATCATGATAGATGTAAAATTTCATGATGGGAATGACAAGGAGCCTGTGTCATTCATATTGTCCAGGGATTTTCTCTATGATGTAGATATCTGATGGATATATGCTTTATGTTTTAGGATAAACAAGCACTTGCTGATCAAAAGAAAGCCAAATTCCATCAAACAGAAGGTGACCACCTCACGCTGCTGGCTGTGTACAATTCCTGGAAGAATAATAAGTTTTCAAATCCCTGGTGCTATGAAAATTTCATCCAGGCCCGGTCCTTACGCCGGGCTCAGGACATTCGCAAGCAGATGTTGGGCATCATGGACAGGTGAGCAGGTCAAGGAGGACAAGTATTGACTCTGTGTCTTATTGTTCTTACATTGTAATAGCTAAAGAAAATTTGCTAAACTCATCCTGGTAGCTGCATCCACATCTAGAGAGCTCTGATCTTTTTCTCTCTAACTCTTGTCTGGCAGGCATAAGCTGGATGTGGTGTCCTGTGGGAAGGCCACAGTGCGGGTCCAGAAGGCCATTTGCAGTGGCTTCTTCAGAAATGCAGCCAAGAAGGATCCCCAGGAAGGCTATCGGACACTCATTGACCAGCAGGTTGTCTACATCCACCCATCCAGTGCTCTCTTCAACAGGCAGCCTGAATGGTAAGGCATGGGATTTCCTGCTTCTCTTCAGACTTTGTAACAGAGAAAGTCGTGCTGTGTGCTGTTTGTGGAGGTCTGAGCAGAGGCTGCTGGTTCCTTAGCAATGAGAAAAGTTTCAAGTCTACTTTTGTCTCTTTCTGTCTATGCAAAGATGAGACTGATTGTTGTAGCCAAGGCCAGGCCTGAAGTTGTAATTGCATAAGTTGTAATTATTCTGGAAGTGGGTTTAAAACACTGGGTGTTGAACAGGGAGAGAGAATTGTTTTAAATGGGATGAAGGAATTCTGTGCTGAAGAGTAGTTGTGAAGTAGGAGGGGAAAAATAGGGATAACTCTTCTGGATGGTTCTTCTGGAGCTTAAAAGGAGCAAGCTTAGCTCTTCCAGCTTTCCTTGTTGCTTCTTGCTTGAAAAAGCCGATTTGCAGAATTGCTGTCCCTTTTCCCAGGGTGGTGTATCACGAGCTGGTGCTGACCACCAAGGAGTACATGCGGGAGGTGACAACCATCGATCCTCGCTGGCTGGTGGAGTTTGCCCCAGCTTTCTTCAAGGTCTCTGATCCAACCAAGCTGAGCAAGCAGAAGAAGCAGCAGCGGCTGGAGCCCCTCTACAACCGCTACGAGGAGCCCAACGCCTGGAGGATCTCCCGCGCCTTCCGCCGGCGCTGAGCCCGGCGCCCTCCTGGGCTGCTGCTTTCACACTGCTGGCACTGGGACCTCTGCACTCTGCCAGGGTCCTGGCAGACAGACATTCCCCTGCAGCTCACCTGTGCAATGCACCTGCAGTCAGCCTTGGGGCACCCCAGGTGTGCAGCAGCTGCACAGGCCACTGCAGCCTCTCTCAAGTGCGTCTTGGAGCACTTTAGTGATTCCCTTTTTAAGAGACAAAATCTAAGACTCAGGAGTCTGGGTACTGAGCTGAACAACACCAAAAAATGGTGATTAAAAACTGGTTGTTCACCAGCCTGACTGGGTTCTGAGTGACCAGAGAAATAGAAGCGGGAATAGTTTGTGTTTTTACCCTGCTAAAAGGGATTTATTTCTGCTTAACGTTCTTGGTCAGTGACTGCTTCTTGGGAGCAGCCTGTTCTCTATTTTACCAAATTTATGCATTTTCCCATGCAGTGTAACTACTTGTATTTTATTTAAGCCATCTGTATGAGATATTTAGTGTCTCTGGCTTTGGGATAAGGTAGGTAAAATTCTTGAAACCCAGCTAGAATATATTTGGACAATGGCACAGGTCAGACTGCACTCTTCATCCCCATCTTCTGGGTGCTGAAGGGTTTATCAACCAGTAATCCCTTCTGCAGCACAGTTCCATCTGGAAATGTAAGTGGTTACAAATGTTTAGACTTTTTATACAATGTGCCATATGCTTTCTTTTCATTTAAAATGTTTGGTGACATCACAGCTGTTGCATTTTTGTAATAGAATGAGCTCTGTACAGCCAAAATGTCTGTAAAAATTATGTAACAGTTTCTTGTTTTAAAAAGAAGTTGACTGCCCAGTGTATGCTATGTCATGCCCAAGCTATCTGTAAAATATTTTTTTGTTGCTAACAGATGAAATTTATTTGACTCCATAGCTGCAGAAACCTTTTTTTTTTTTTTTTTCCCCCAAAGCTGGGACATGTGCTAAAATTACTGTTGAAATTAAGAGAAGTAGCTTGACTGGTTGTTTTACACAGTGAACTAGAAGAATGTTTCACATTGAAAAGTAGCTATGTTGGAAATACCTCTCTGTACAAAGTTGAGCAGGGATGTTGTTAAATGTCCTGAGCTTTCCCTCATGTTATTTCATCATAAAATTAAAGGGAATTACAAAGTTTGTAACTTTGGACTCGAAGAATCAAAGAGAATCAAAGCAAAAAGGACAGGAATGGAAGTGCCTCCAAAACATGCCTAAAGCCAATTTAGGGAAATGGAAACAGGTACCATAAAGCCAAAGCTCAGCAAGAACTGAGGTGCCATGAACTCTTTCAGCCTCCCCTGAGGCACCTTCCTCTCTCCTGCTTTGCTTTCTCACCTGCTACTTTCCATGGTTCCCTAGGGGCCAGGAGAATTGTTGTGAGCATCCTGAGCAGAGCCTGGCATGCACAGTGGTGTGTTTGTGCACTGCTCTTTCTGAAGCAGGCAGGCACAGCAAAGCTTTCAGGTTTTACAGCTCCAGCAGAAATGGTGTGGCTCTGTGCTGGGCACTGGGGAGGCCACAGCTCAAATCCTGCATCCAGCTCTGGGCCCTTCACTACAAAAAGGACATTGAGGTGCTGAAAGTATCCAGAGATGGCCAGTGGAGCTGGGGAGGATGTTATGATCCAGTTGTTAGAGAGATGCTTCTGCCTGAATTAAGGTGCAAATGAGACCACATGCTGAAGTCAATGTATGGATTTTATTTAACTGCAATATGAGGTAGAGAGAGGAATAAATAGGAAAGAAATGGGGAGTGAGAGAATGAAGAGAGAGACAGATGAAGCAGAAAGCTGTTAACCCTGTGGGTCCAGTGGTGTCCCATTGATTCTCTTCTGGTCTTCTTGATGGTGGGGGTTCCATGAAACAGAGTTCAGTGGGTTAATAAACATGCAGGTATAGATGGGAATGCCCACTCACCTTCCTGCTGGGGGGCAGGTCTGCAGTGTCTTTTACAACAGACTGGTTCTGGTGCAACACTTGTCCATCCTGTGCACTCTTCAGAAGTGAGGCTGGGGCACTCTGGGGGTCTCTGATGACTTACGATCCCTTCCAAGAGTGTCTCTCACATGAATGGCCCTGGTGAATGAGACCTGTGACCTGTGGTGTGTTCTACACCAGAGCCAGTTTGTGCAAGGGAGGACTCTAGCTGAACTGGAAATGTCAGAGGATTTATTGACTCCCAACTCTCTGATCTGGTGATCATGAATCTCTGAGCTTTAGAGGTCACTGCCCCTCAAGGAGGGGAACCTTCTGATTCCTGGAGCTGCTCTGTGGCTGTTCATCTGTTGCCCTGACTTGAGAAACCTGAATGAAATTGCACTGAAATGTGTGAATTCACTCCCCGAATTCCTGTTCTGGAAGGAAGGGCAGAGGGGTGGCCCAAAGGATAAATGTCAAGTCCTTGGGAGTCCAGGTGGAGGTATCAAAGCTGTGAGCTGGTGCCAAGGGGAGGTGCAAAGCAAGGTTAGAAGGTAAAGGAGGAGCACTCGGTGAGCTTGCACTGGCCAAAGCCAGACCAATTTATTAATGATAGTATTTTTACACTCATAAATAGTAAAGGCAGCTTATACCAGAGGAAGGGTTCCCCTTCACCCTCACTTCTGGGACACCACAGGAGCTGTGCTGGCCAGGGAGGTGCAGGGCAAGGCAGGAGGGTCAGGAACTGTCAGAGCACCAAGTCTCTGCACAGGGCCTGCAAAGGCATCAGCAGAGCAGACTGCTCTGAGTGCCTGGCCTCTCCTCAGGCAGGGAATGCTGCCTTCCATGGCTCTTGCACTCAGGGATGAGGCTGGGAGGGTTGGCATTAGCCATGCAGGGGACAGTCATCAGGGGAAATCAGGCTTTCAGTCAATATACAGAATTTTTTTTCTACAGGCTACCATGCTGGCAGGATTGGCAATGCTCTGTATTCAGCAGCTGAAACATCAATCTAAAGCAATGGAAACAGACTTTTTCTGTATGGGTACACTGTACTGCTCCTTGTTTAACTGGGAGCATGGTAGAGCTGCTAATTAAAAAATTAAGCACCTCTTAATCAGGATGTGGTACCCATTATAAACATTTCCTGTTGTGGAAAACCTGCCAGTTTAGTTAAGTTGCAGGTGTTGCATTGGACTGCAGATAGAGCTGCCTTTTCAACACATCTGAATTCCCCTCAAACATGCAAATATCTGTGGAGTTTAAGTCTGAATTCCTATATTAATAGATTAGATTACTTTTTACATTTTTAAATCACACCTCCACCAGGTGTGATTAAATTTAGTCACACCTCTTGCCTCAGACAATTCTCTAGCCAACCCCAGGATGGGCACACTTAAGAGCCTGGGAGCTCTTCAAATATCCTGAGACTGTTTGTTGAGGAAGTTTTTCAGTTTGGAAAAGCCACACCACTGCACTGAGCTGTGTCTCAGGCCTTGCTGCTTCCCACAATCCCTCCACTGAACGAGGCATTGGTTTGACCTGTGTCCCAGACCAAGCTCCTCTGTGGTTCCCCGAAATGCCTTTGGGCCATGTATCCTGCTCAGAGTGCCTGGATCCCAGGAACTCCTGGCATGAGCAAGGAGGTGATAAGGCAGGAGCATGCACAAGACAATGAGTATTCCTCAAGGAAGGCACAAGATCTGTGACCACTGTCCTGCAGCCATCCTGGGAAGAAGGCTTGAGTGGCCTTTCAGAGTGAGTTCCTCTGGTCACAGCTGAAAGCAGGTCATGCAGAGGTTCTGGACATGTACAGGAGGAACAGAGTCAGCAGCAGCATTGTAGCATTCTCATAATTTTTCTCATTTTTCTTAATGAAAAAAGCCCTGGTGGGACAGCATCCCCTCCCTCTGCAATGAGGGGATAGCAACAGGTTTGATACATCTGGAGGCACCATTCACCTGATCTGCTGCTGAGATGTCTGCACAGCTGAGAACGAGCTCCATCCTGACACAGCAAGAGTTTTATCACAAGCACACAAGAGCCCTGTCTGCTGTCAGGTGATTTTCCACTCGTGCTGCCCAAAGCAGGGATGCAGAGCTTGGTGCCGGCCCGAACAAATGCTGCCACCAGCTGAGCACCAACCAGCCATCTCCCAGTGCTCCCAGCAGTGCTAGTAGGTGTAGCCTTTGCTGTAGAGCTGTGGAGGGAAGCTGCCAAGCTCTGGCAGGTAGGAGCCGTTGTCCCCCAGGTGGGACAGAGGTGCCGTGTCCTCCTCGCCGAGCTCCGCCTTCAGCGCCGGCCGCTGCTGCTCGGGGAGGGCCATGGAGAACAGGGCCTGGGGCTCACACACAAACTTGTACACGTAGCGTTCCCCAGCCACCTGCAGGGGTGAGATCAGGCCAGCTGAGTGCTGCAGGCCCAGGGGCAGCACCAGGGAAGGCTTGCAAAGACATCTGCCTGCCCCGAGATGTTGTCCTGGCTTGTAAGATAAGCATGTATTCTATTTGCCATATGTTGGAGGTTGGGCAGTTTTCTTATCTCTTCCAAGAACAATGTCTCCCTCCGGGGAGATATCTTCTGTTAATGGGCCATTAATGACTCACTGCATGACTGATAAAGTTACATCATCCCATTGTGAGATGCTCCACCCAGAGGGAGGAGCCAAGCAGCCCTACCGGCATAAAATCAACATTTTTTAGAGCATCAGAACAGCCTCTTCACTGGATTCCCAGAGGAGCAGCTTTCTTCTCTGCTGGATTCCCAGAGGAAGACCAGGCCCAACTACTCCATCACCAGACCTTCAGAGAAAACTCCACCTTTCTACAAATCCCCGCTTCAGCAGCATTTCATCTGCCACTCCAGGAGGAGCTGCCACCATTTAACTGGACTACTACCAACACTCTGACTCCTCAGGGTATCAGGTTTCTGACTCTATCAGTAGTTTTGTTTGTACTAATTACAATTTTTTTCTAAATTTAGTTTTTCTCCTAGTAAAGGACTGTTGTTCCCATTCCCATATCCTTGCCTGAGAGCCTTTTAATTTTGAAATTGTGGTAATTCAGAGGGAGGGGGTTTACCTTTTCCATTTCACAGGAGGCTTTTGCCTTCCTTCACAGACTCTTGTCTTTTCAAACCAAGACAGATTTGTCAGAGCTGTACATTTCTCCTTGTGCTGTCCCCTTGCTTCTCAGCTGCTCTGACCACCCCTGGAACAGCTCCTGGGAGCTGGGGTGCTGCCAGCTGACACTCTCTGTCCAGGTAACAACAGCAGCAGCAGTCCCTGAGCAGCCTGTACTGAGACAGTTACACTCCCAATTATCTCTCCAGGGCCCTGGGTGTGCCACAGACCATCCCCACCACACAGGACCAAGTTCCAGGCAGCCTTTCCCTCACCAGAGGAAGGACTGATTCTATCTCCTTGAAGCTGTATAAATTCCAACTCTCCTGACTGCAGAAATACAAAGAAAAAAGAAAGAAACCCTAATTCCCCCCCCCCCCGCCTTTGTTTTATTTCTCATGCTTTGCATAAATTCAGCTCCTTCACAGCTTCTCCACTGGACTACAACAAAGAGAAGTTTTCTGTTCTTTCTGTTTCTACGGCCTGCTTCCCCAGCTTTATAAAAATCTTCTTACCTTTGCCATTTCCCACAGCTAGCTCAAGAACATTCTGTCTAGGACTTGTCTCAAACAAGAGGAGCATCACTTCAAGCATAAAGTTTTCTCCTGCTTTACAGACTGACCTTCTGCATGATGCCTTTCTCGTAATAGTAGCGCAGTGAGCGGCTCAGCTTGTCGTAGTTCATGGCTGGACGGTTCTTCTGGATGCCCCAGAGCCTGGCCACCTGCAAGCACAGCACCAAGAGGCAGTGCCAGTGAGCCCAGCTGTCCTAGGCTGAAAGATTTAACTGGGAGTGTGTGTTCTATCACCATCTGTCAGAGCTGGGGCAGGTATCTGCTGTTCATTGGGCAGTTTGCTTTATCTCTCCCACAGCCAACCCTCCCTCCAGGAGATCTCTGCTGTTGATGAGCCATTAATTATTAATTATCTTCTGTTCATGGGCCACTGATGGTCCCTGCATAGCTGGGAAATTACATCATCCCACTGAACAGTGCTAAATGCAGCTCTAATTAGAACAAGATATGAACAGATATTATGGACACTTCTCCCAGATACCAAAAAATCCAGTATCACTGGATTTTTTGGAACATGGCAACATTTGAAATTACACTTCAGTGAAAGTAATTTTGAAATAAAGATAGATTAGGACATATCTTATGAAAACTTCTGCAACCAGTAGGGTTTGAAACTCCAAACCTCAATGTCAAGTATGGAGCATGACAAGACAGCACAGGTCACTGCAAGCTTGAGAGTGAAGTGTCCAGGGAAATGAAGGCTGTGGATAATTTGATACACTGCATAGCTGAGGTTCTAATCTTACACACAAGCAGCCTTTCTTAAACCTGGTATTTGTGTCACTCAAGTGTTTTGACCTCTTCTAAAATCCTTGACTTGCCGCAGGGTCTAGTGAGTACCAGTGGCAAGCAAAAGCTTCACAGGGTAGAGGAAAAGCCACTTGAGAGTTTGCACCCCCAGAAACAACAGGTGATTTCCCTGAGCGTGTAGAGAACCTCAATGGTTTCACCTCCTCTGGCTCAATGAGCTTGAACTCCATTCCTCTGCCAGTCCAGGCAATGAAGTGGGAGTTGGTGGGGTTGTCCAGGAGAGCCACGAGGAACTGCCAGAGCTGGAGCGAGCCCCGTCTCTGGTAGGGGGGTCCTTCCCGGTACCCTCCACCTTCCTGCTTGATGTCTCCTGCTGAGAAGAACAAACAAGACATCTCCAAGGAGAACAGTGCTAAAACAACTGGGGAAAAAAGAAAAAAGCAGCACATTTTACAGTTTCAAAATGTTTACCTGGAATATTTCAGTTCACATGCAACAGTGCCAAATTGACAAGCAACTCTTCCAAGAGCAGCTCTGATATAAATCATAACTGAGCTACTTATGCTAGGCCTGGTTGCTGCTAAGAAAGCTCAAAAAATGGGATACCAAAAGCTGTGTACCAACACACAGCAAGAACACAGTAATGAACTGTGTAGGCACTAGTCAAGGGGCTGGCTAAGGTGATGGATAACCCTATCTTACACCAAAACTCCAAGCCAAGCTTTCTCCAACCTTCAAATTTTTCTGGAACAACACAGACATCATCAATAAAGGACCTCATCTGCTTGTCATAGCTGCAGCCTGAAAGAGAAAGGAACATCAGCAGTCACAGCCAGCCAGGGTAGTAGCAGACAGTGGTTCTGTACAGGGAGGAGAAGACAGTCCTTGCATCTCTTACCTAATGGATCTTCTGTATTTGAATGGCTTGGATAACTCTCAGCATTTATGTACATGGAAGGACAGTCAGGACCATCTACGGAACAATTAACAAACTCATTTATTTAAAAAGCACAGGTGGCAGAATTATCGTGCTCTGTAAAGGTGGATAGGTGAGTGCAGCTGTCTAACCACCTTTAGAGCCCTCCTAAAGGTGAGTGTCAGACTGCTAACCACAGCTTCATTTGCATTATCCTTCCAATGATGAATTAGAGCAGTCAGTTGCTGTGGCACCATCACACACCATCCTTCAGGGTAGCCAGGAGAAGCAGCCAATCACCTCTACCTCACTTTTATACAAAACCATGGACAGCAGGCTAAATTGGAACCCCTCTCTCATCTTAGTTTAAGATAACCACACTCTTTGCTGCTGCTTTCCCAGGTAAGAAGGCATTACATTTTTCCAGGGGTACTGTGATGATGATGGTGAATGGAGAGCAGGAGCATCTGAATGTTCTGCAGAGTCTCACAAATGTCATTTCAGATGTCTCAAGTCTCCCTGGCTTTTTCACATCATGAGGGGGCATTCCCACAAACAGTTCAGAAAATATAAAAGAAAAATCAGCCTTTGTTAAAAACAAGCAGGAAGTCTTTTCCTGGTTCTCTGTATATAGTGCTGCCTGTGCACTGCAATTTGTGTCTTCTGTATCTTGTGTTTTCTGAATCAAATTTATTTACTGTACAGAGCTGAAACAGAAGCTGTAACTGGGAGCTTTGCAAAGGTTTATGTTACACTTCCCTCTCACACCTGTGCCTGGCCCTTGCTGCCAGCAGATATTTTGCTGATGCTAAGGGAAGAGAACTCTCAGCTGACAGACTGGGTGTTATTACAGCCATAAACTACTCTCACAAAAAGCACATTCTCAGCTTCTGGGCTTGCACATTTTCTGAACAGAAGGACCCAGTGAAATTGTAATTCCAATATCACCACAGTGATACCCTCATAAGAGCTTTTCATTTTTGTGTTTATTTCTGCTAAAGGAAAAAATTCAAGATGTCCATTGAAATACCAGGAAACCAGAAGTATCACTCCCTTTGGAAAGAGGGCATTTTGATCTCAGGGTAGTGAGTCTTTGGAGAGATCTTCCAGAAAAATAAGATTTATCCCTTGTGGAAAAATAAGAGGATCACCTGGTGGAGATATCTGGCATCTAAAGAGCAATTTTTGGCACCACTAACTTTTTTCTCTTGTCATCCCAACATCTCTCTTCTCTGAGCATTGTTTCTATGGGAAGTAGCAGATCCTCAGAGGATACCAAGCAGCACCCTGGCACTGAGCTGAGCCCACCCAGAGCCCTTTGCTCTGTGCTCAGAGGGCTTCTGCTGCAAGGATCCAGGACAGTTTTTCTGTCCAAGCTCCAGCATATCCTTTCTGTTGCTGTTTTCAGTATGATTTCTTCAAAGCTGACCTCACTTACTTCCTACAACCTTCCAGCTCACAATTACCCCTGAAAACAAAAACTCCCTGTGAAACTGGAAATAGCCTTTTCTTCATTTCTGATGTTGTGTGTGGGCTAATCACGAATTTTGAGATTCTCCTTATTGGCTACTGACTCCCTTGGGGTGGGAATGCTTTTATCTCATTTGAATGGATTTAACATCCCCTTCTGCCTCCTATCTTGCTAAAGCTTTCAGCTCTGTCCCAGAAAGTCTTTCTCAGAGCATGGTGAGTGTCCCAGCCTTATTTTGGAGGCAGTGAACAGACAAAACTGTTTTAGCTGCCAGGTACCCAGCCAGCACATGCTGCTGACAGTGAGCAGTGCTGCTGCAGAGCTCAGAGAGCAGCACTTCATCCAGCTGGATGCCCCCGAGGAGCTGCTGACCCCACTGATGATGTTCATGCAGTCAGGAAGGGGCAGTTCTGCCTACCTGGCTCGTACAGGTAATCCAGCTGCTCCTGCTTGACCAGCACAGCTGCTGGGAGCTGCTGCCTGCTGCCTGCCTGCTTTGCTTGCTCGTACTGGGGGTCGTGCTGCTCCTGTTTGAAGCCCTGCTGGGGGTACTGGAGGCAGGGCTTGGGCAGCTGGCACTGGTAGGCAATGGAGTCTTCCTGGGCCACGGCCTGGGAGGGTGGGAAGGAATGGCACATCTCCAGAGGTGGCTGATAGGCAGAGCTAAGAAGGGAGAGGGTGTGAGACAGTTGCTTTCCTGAGAATTTGCAGCCCCAGAAACAAAGGGTGGTTCCCCTGAGCCTGTGGAGAACCCTCTGGTCTCAGCCCTGGTTTCTGCTGTCTGGGCCCTCTGGTTTCAGGAGGGACAGGCACCTCCTCAGCCCCTTGCTGCAGCTGCAGGAGCCCATGGTGGCTGGCACAAGGAGGGGTGACAGCCCAGGGGAGGATGTTTCCAAGGGCAGCTGCCCCACAGCCCAGCACTCCCAGGAGCTGGCAGGGTAAAGGGCATGGACCTCACACCCAGGCAGCAGAGGTGGGTGCCACAGGAGGGGATCCTGTGCCCTTCACCTGGATGCTGCAGCCCTTCCTCCTTTCACCACCAAGGAGGGAAATCCTTGCCAGTGGCTGCCTCCTCCTCCTCCTCACCTGTTCTCACTGAGGAATCCACAGCTGGATGTGGAGTGGGGTGGCCCTGCAGGGCTCAGGAAGCTTCTGTCCTGTCTGGGGAACTGCTGGAGTGGTGGCTGGATCAGGACTCCGGGGCTGGGGGATTCTCTGAGCTGGTCATAGGCACTGGAACAGCCAAACAGATATTGCAGCATTTCAGTTCTCCAAGAGGGACTTGTGGCAGCACCTGGAACATCTCAGTCCTGGGCTGCAAGATGTGGCTGGGGGTGTGTGTATCCACTACCATCTGTCAGAGCTGGGGCAGGTATCCTCTGTTCATTGGGCAGTTTGCTTTATCTCTCCCACAGCCAACCCTCCCTCCAGGAGATCTCTGCTGTTAATGGGGCATTAATTATTAATTATCTTCTGTTCATGGGCCACTGAGTGTCCCTGCATGGCTGAGAAAATTCCATCATCCCACTGGGAGATGCTCCACCCGGGGGAGGAGCTGAGCATTCCTACCTGGATACAATCTGAGATTTTGGAACAGCACAGCAGCCTTTGTCCCCTGCATTCCCAGAGGAGCCCAGGCCCATCTCCCCCAGCCCTGGAGCTCCAGAGGAAAACTCCCCCCTTGTGCAGGATCCTGCTCCAGCAGAAGCACAGCTGGCACTGCAGGAGGGCTGAGCCACCCTGGGATGGGACTGCTGCCACCTCCCTGCCCCACAGCCTGCCAGGGCCTGCTCTGACTCTGGCAGTGGTTTGTTTTCTTTTCTTTTTTTTTTTTTTTTTTTTTTTTGCACTATTGCATTTATATTTTTGACTTTTCTAATAAAGAACTGTTATTCCTATTCCCATATCTTTGCTGAGAGACCCTTAATTTTAAAATTATATTAATTTGGAGGGAAGAGTTCTACATTGTCCATTTCAAGGGAGGCTCCTGCCTTCCTTAGCAGACAACCTGGCTTTCCAAATCTAGAAAATATCAAACATGCTGTGCCCCTGTGCAGCCCCCTGGGCCAGAAGCCCCCAGCTCAAACCCCTGCTGCCTCCCTGATCCCTGACAGCAACAACCCTTTAGAAGGGCTTTGCTGGAGGAGCCACAGCTCAGGGAAGGGCAGTGGGACAGATTTTGGAAAACAATGGGCAGAGGCATGTTGTAGGTGTCAACACTGCTGAGTGTGAGGATGGCTGAGGGCCAGGGAGAATAAAAAGGGAGAATAAAAGGAGGCAAAGGCAGAGCTGATGGTCACAGCCTGAGCTGCCCAGTGGGCAGAGATGCTGAGCACTGCTGGGCAGCCAGGGCTGCTGGCAGCCCTCCAGTGCCAGAGACTGCAGAGCCCTGGGTTTCAGAGCAGCTCCTGCCCCTCCTGGCAGCCATACCTGGCATAAAGGCACTGCTGGCTGCTGTGGCTGCAGGACAGCTCCGAGGGGCTCTGGGGCTCCTTCTTGATCTTGGCAGGAGGGCTGTGAAAAGCCACTGAGGAGAGAAAGGAAAGATCCAACTGACACTGCATTTTATGGGGAGCTGTGATTATCAGGATTTCCAAATGCAGGGGTCCCTTGGCTGAATCTCTGCTGTGCCAACAGTCCAGCACCCCTGAGTGTGGGACTGGAGGATCCCAAAACCACTCTGCTCATCCAGAACATAGGGACAGTCCAGGAAAAAAAAAACCAACAACAACAAAAAACCAAACCAAAACAAAAAAGGTTTCTTTCCATTTTCAATGCACTGATCATGGCAAGAGCCTGATGCAGACAGAATTTCATGAATAACAAGTGTGGGCTGCAGTTTACAGCACCAGGAAGTAGGATGTGGGTGTTTAGGAAATTTTTTTTGTCTGTTTCTCTGAATGCTGATGCACTTCTATAAATTATTTGGCTTGAAGCTAATTCCATACAGTTATCATGAAAGGAAAAATGGGAAGGATGCTACTGATTGATGAATGGAAAAAGATATTTGCTTTTACAAGCAAGCTTTAGGTTTGCTGATAAATGAAATTAGACATTGAAAGATGAAAGAAACAATGGGGAAAAACCCTAAATTCCATAAGAATTGAAAATTAAAAAGGGAGGGTTATACATTAGAGGGAAATCTCTGGTATCAGATTTATTGGGAAGTCTGAACCTCTCAAGTACATCAGGCAATGGGGAAAGAGAGAAGGGAAATTAGGATAAAAGAGGAGGCTGTGTCCTCCAAAAATTGGAGAGACCCCAGGGGAATGGCCCATGGCCTCTCCCTTTATTGGAATAAAGTAAAAGGACTCCTCTGTCTCCTTTTTAGACATAAACCTCTGATATTTGTGGATTAATTTTCCTGACACAGCCCATCTAAAAATGCTGATGGGTCAGCTGAGTCTCAGGGGGAAAAGAATTTTTTTCTCTCCAGTACACTGAACTCCATGGGATTGTCAAGAAGCTGGATGTGTTAGGAGCAGCCAATTCTTTCCAGCCCCTAATAGCTGGAACAGGCTCTCACATTACACCTGACTCATTGATTCACTCAGAGTGAAACTGGGCTCATCCCTCTCCTCAGTTCTAGGTCAAAAAGAGAAAGAAATCAGATATATGGCTCAGAGACCAAGCTCTGAGAAAGGAGGGAAACAAGAGCAACCAGTGAAAGTGTTTAATTCCAGTTTAGTGGGGGAAACTGCCTGGGGCAGGGGGAAAAGGCAGCAGAATTTGGATTTGTCTTTCCCCCAGGAGGTGTGAGCATCCCCATGGTACTTACAATTTTCTGAATGGAAGTCAGGCACAAATTGCTCATCATTGTCTGGAACCTGAGCTGTCAGGAGAGAGAGGGAGGGAGGGAGAAAAAGAGGCAGGGAGGAGTTAGTTTTGGCACTTTGTACAGCGTAATTAGCACTGAGGCAGAAATAAATCTCTGCAGGAAAGATCTGAGCTTTCTGCTGGGATGGTTTTAGTGACTAAGGGTAGTTTCCCTTTGGGATTAATGAATACATGTGAGTCCTGGGAGAAACCTTACCCATGTTTTATAACTTCTAACAATTACTTTTACATCCCTTTTACTGCAGGGAAGGGAGAGCTTGCAGCAGATTGTTGTTATTTCATAAATTCTGTCACTGCTGCTGAAAGAAATGCTGCTGCTAACAGACAAATCTACAGTTTTTGTTATTGCAGAGTGGACAACAGAGTGTGATTGCACTCTCTCTGCTCTAAACCAGAGGTGATGTAGTCAAAGTTAAGGGACATAAAGGATGGAAGCTCACTAATCTCAGTCAGTAGAAAGTAAGCTAGACTGGACATGCCAAAAATGAACCTCAGGGAGTAACACTGGGCTAACATGTGGTGCATAAGAATGGAACTGGCCAAACCCTTCACTCTGCAATTGCTGTTCCTTCAAAAAACCTGTATGACAAAGTGGAAATGTAAGAAAAAAAAAAAAAAAACAGATGGGCAACTGAGGAAAAAAAAATCTAGAAAATTCATTCTCTGAATTATCTTTAAAAAGAAACGTGGAAATAGAAGTGGGATAATTAATGAGAGATCTAAACCCAGCTCTGCTCTTGCAACCCTGACCCCAGCATTCCCCACAGCTTCCCAGAGCTGGAGCACTGGAACTTCAATTTTCTGCCTGAGGACACCTGGAGATGTGAATGTGCTCCTTCACAGGATCTGCCTGTGCTACTTTTCTCCAAGGAAATTTGGGGGTTTTTGTTTGTTTCTCTGAATGCTGATGCACTTCTATAAATTATTTGGCTTGAAGTTAATTCCATACAGTTACCAACATCCAGGTTCACCAAGTGCAGCAGATCCTGGTAAAAACTGCAGAGGAAAACTGGATTTTTACTAACCAGGCCCAGGATGTTTCCTGTGTGTTTCTTTTAAGAGCCTTAAAAAGAAAAGCCTTGAAGAGCCTTTATATTCTGCATATAATTCTTCAAAAAGAAGAATTCTTTGACTCTCAAAATAAGATATCAAGTGTTAATTGACACTACTAAAATACTTTAAAAAGATAACAAAGATAACAAACCTATGACTGACCATCACACCAATACATATAGTGACACACCTAAACACATTTATACAGATCTATATGTGCTTTAAATTCATTAACATTTTTGGCTGATGCCTTATTTCTAGTTTGCTTCCTTCCTAGGTTTGTTTCTCTTTTATTTAAAAAGTAAGACCAAAATCTGTAAGTAAATAAATAACTTCTAAAATAAAACTAAATGTGATAAAGGAAAATAATAAATAATATATTTAATGTTTTCTCTTCTGCATTGTTTAGCATGGTACTCTTCATCTGATGTCTTCATCTCATGAACAAATGTTAACATAGAGGACATAAGTAAAAAATATTTTCACGGTTCAGGAAAATATTTTGACATCCTGGTGAATAGAAAAAAGCAATATTTTGCTTCAGAGGGTGTTTTTTTTGTTTTGTTTTGTTTTTTTTTGGTTTTTTTTTTTTTTTTTTGTTACAAGTCTGGAAATGGGAAAAACAATGGGAGAAACCAGTTCCCTGATATGCAGACTAAAATAATAAAATACATTATTAAAACTCATATTGAATTTCTCAGGGTTTTCACTTGGACTCTGGTTAGATGCTATGAACCATGAAAAATTATAATTAAAAAAAATCTCTGCCTATATTCCCAAAACATGCAGTAAGCTTTGCATTATCATTTACTAATCCTGGCTGGGAGCAGAGCACCTCTGTCTCTCCAGGGCTGTGAGTGACTTCCAAACTCACCCTGCAAACACTCTGCTGGTGGCAAATATATTGTGAGAGATTCCATGGAAATTCTTTGGATCAGTGAGCTCAAACTATTATCAGACATGAAAAAATCCAAAACTGAAAATCTACCAAAAATCAGTTTTGAGGCAAACTTATTGGCAGCTCAAGTTCTTGTAAGATTTAAAAGAAATCAATCTCAGGTCAATTACATGACCAGCAATTCATACCAATTTTCCTGTTCTGATAAAAGTTACATGGATGTTTCAATATTGAAACAGTCTCCAGGTAATTCCTGCTGCATCCTTACAATCCTCACACTCCTGGAACACTGCCTGATTCACAGCACCTCATTTCAGTTCAGTTTGGAATGAACATTAAATTTCTGATTTTTTTTTCCTTAATAATAATCTTACTTATTTGGCAAATATATTTTTGAAGGGTTAAAAAAAGAATTGACAAGATTGCCCCTCGCTTGTGGTAAAATGAGAGGAAATAGCCCTGCTCAAAATGTCATACATATTTTTACATCATTACAGTTAAATATTTTTATATACCTAGATACAATAAGTATGTCAGTATTTGTCAAGAGTCTGTACTCGAGGATGTGTTTTGAATTTTCTAGAAAACGGACCATCTGTAGTACTGGAATTAGAGCAAAGTCACCATGTTTAGAAATAGTTTCACTTGGCATTAATGTGACTCCCTGGCATTCGAAGTTTTCCTTGAAGTTCAAAGTCAAAACAATTAAGACACCGAACTGAAAAGTATGTAAATTCCAGGAAGGTCCCCACAATGTATTACATAAAAAAAAATAGAAAAAGAAAGAAAAAAAAAATAATAGAAGCATTTTGTTCCCCCAATTAAAAGACTAGTTTGTTGTTTAAGAAAATATCAACGTTCTGGCAACCTACAAAGATAAGTGACAAATTAGCATAAAATTGAAGTTGCTACAAATAGCCCGAAGCGAAAATTGTACTCAGGAAAGCGGGCCGGCAGCCAAGTCCCATTCATAAGCAAATGCCCGGCACAGTGGTGTCATTCAGCGTCTGAATTTACACAAGGCAGAGGTTGGCAAGTCTGAAAAACCCACTTTGTTTGGAGCTGGGCAAACACAGCGGAGGAGCGGGACAAACCCCAAAAGCAACTCCGAGACAGGGAAACCGAGACAGGGAAACCGAGCCGGGGGCAAAGCCGGGGGCAGAGCCGGGGGGCAGAGCCGGGGGGCAGAGCCGGGGGGCAGAGCCGGGGCAGAGCCGGGGGGCAGAGCCGGGGATAGAGCCGGGGGGCAGAACCGGGGCATAGCCGGGGCACGGCTGGGGGCAGAGCCGGGGCAGAGCCGGGGATAGAGCCGGGGGGCAGAGCCGGGGGGCAGAGCCGGGGGGCAGAGCCGGGGCACAGCCTACCTTCAGTCAGCCACGTCTCCTGGAGCTGCCGCAGGTCCTGGAACAGCTCTGCGGGGAGAGGGGCCGGGCTGACCGCGGGATGCTCTGGGAGGAGCCGGCCCCAGTCCCGGTCCCGGTCCTCCCTCCGCCCCGGGCCCCCCTCACCTTCCGAGTCCTGCTCCGGCGGCACGTCCGGCTCCCCGGGAATCCTCGCAGCGCCCAGCGCGGCTCGGCCGGCGGGCGGCGCCGGGCCCGGGGGCTGCTGCGGGAGGAGCGGGTCAGAGCGGAGCCCCGGGAGGAACGGGACCGGCCCGGAGCCCCCCGGCGGAGCCGCCACTCACCTGCGGGAAAGTGAACGGCACCTGCTGGTCCAGGTACCCCTTCATCCTCCTCGGCCGCTACCCGCGCTCCCCGGGCATCCGGGGGGTACCGGGGCCGGGCCGGGCCAGGCGGGGCGGCCGAGATCCGCAGCAGCGGCGGCAGGACCGCGATCGCTGCCGCTGCCCGGCACCGGCAGCGACCGCGTCGCAGCTGCCGAAACTTGGGATGCGAGGCGGAGCGAGCCCGGCAGCCCCGAGCGGGACGAAGCCCGCGACAGAAGCCCCCCCTCGGGTCGGGTCCCGTCCGGAGCCGTCCCTCAGCACCGGGATCACCGGTAGCACCGGGATCAGCGGTGGCCCACGCGGAGCCGCCCCGTGCGCGCCCCGCGGCCGCCGTGGGCCCGGGGCCGGTCGCCCATTGGCCCCGCGCTCACGGCCCCGGCTCGCCCACTCCTTTGTTTGATCGAATTTGTGAATGAAGCTCCGCGTCGGGGCACGCCCGCCAATCAGCGCCCGCCTCGGCCGTGACCCAGCGCCGAGTGGGCGTGGCCTATGCCCCGGCGGACCAATCAGATCGCAGAGCTGCGCCGTTCATTCACGGCCGGGCTCCCATTCATAAAGAAAATGAAATTCCGCCGGAGTTCATTCATGAGCGGCTCCCGGTGGGTCCGTGTGTCCCACCCGGCCGGCACAGCCCTGCCCCGCCCCAGCACATCCCACTCCTCTTCAAACCCTCTTCGAGGTCATTTCCAAACCCTATTCGAGGTTTTTCAGACCCTATTCGAGGTAATTTTCAAACCCTCTTCACCTTCGTTCAGTTCCGTTCTGAGCAAGTTGCAACAAGAGTTGGAAGAAATCTCCCCCATCCAACCGGAGCGAAAATAACTCAAGTCCTGGCTGTCAAAATCAGTTTGACTCATGCAAATGTTAAGGGACAACAACATGAAAAAAAAAAAAGAAAAAAAAAAAATCTAATCTTGGGATTTGCGCTCTAAAAAAAGTGGATTTGCTTTTCCAGATGCCGGATGCTGTCTCCTGAGCTATGTGTATGCATCCAATTATTTTCCCCCCAAATTTCTCCTTTCAAATTCCAAGATGCTATTTAACATTTATTAATCCTCTTTTTCCTCTAAAAAATATTGGTGACATGCAGGACCTGGTCATAATAAGATAATCATTCATGGAATGTTATGTCCTGGAAGACATAATAAGTATTTATTCTCTTCTCCCTGGAAGAGAAATAAGTACTCAAGAGAAAAAGAGAAGGGGAAATTATCCATAAGGCTAAATGGAGCTTTACATTTTTAATGTTTTCTCTATATCTCACCCCTTCCAGTTTGCTGTACAGCTCTGCTGGCTGTGAAAAGAGTGTCTGTAAGTTTAATTATCTAAATCAATTTGTATTTTGATTGCTATCATTAATCCGGTGGGACAAAGCTGTATAAAGTTTTAATTATATCTATACAGTCCTTAAGATATAAACTGCTGACAAAATCTTGGACCACTTGATCCAGCAGCACCCAGAGTCCTCTCTGAGGAGTTTAGAAATCCAGGTGATCTTTCGTGCACCCCACTGCCATTTTTCTCTCTGACAGAGATGTTCTGTCAGTGCTATCAATGGCTTTTTCTATTTCTGTGTCACATTTATTTTCAAAGGCTGGCTAATCAAATGTGAGCAATTAATGTTCAGGGTGATTAATTGCCTTCTATTATTAATTTTTTTTTCTTGAGGTGTCTTTGAAGAGTTAAAATGTGATACATAAACCAGAAAGCTGATTCTTACTTATAAAGTATTAGCAACAGATTTATTCCATCATTGGAACACACACTGCCCGAGGTGTTTCTTCCCTGGCTTTACAGTTTATTTTTCTTTGTCACCAAGTGAATTTTGGTGACTAATCTTTGTGCCTAGTCCCCTCTCCCTGCCGTGTCCATCCCTAAGATTTAGCTGTTTCCATTTATTGTACTGGCTTCAGAAAACCCAAGCCCGAATTTCAGATGCATCCCCTGCAGTCCCCAGCAGCTGTGGCTGGGGTAATGTAAAGCTCTCAGCCAGAGATGCTGACACAGACAGGATCAAATTACAAATGGCTTAGAAAGTGACACACTGAAAGTTGGAAAAAACCTCTCTGTACTGTAGAACGGAGCATGAAGAGACCTGCAGTTCTATAAAAATAATAATAAACAGCTGGATGAAGAGCTCAGGTTTCTTAACATCAGGCATGAAATCAGCCCAGCTGCTCTTCAATGCCCTGTTGTTCCTTGGGCAGGAATATCGGGAGTGAGGTGCTGAGGCTAGAATTGCCCATTGTTCCCAGCCCTCTCTGCCTGGGAGGGGATGCAATGCCTGAGGAAACACAGAAATCCCAAAACTGGCAGCTCCTGCCTGTCAGAATCTGTTTTAATTTCATTAATTTAGTTTAATTAAGAAATGACACTTAAATTATTTTTAGTTTTAACTGAATAGCTAACTACTTGTGTTCTGTAATGTGGATTTTTAAATCTAATTATACAATATTAGTTACGCTTATGAAGAAGAAGGTAAAGAAGAAGTATTCATTTCTGGTTTAAAACTTCTATTTTGTTTTATATATATAACTATATTTTAAAACTTCAACTCGAAGTTTTTTTAGTAAGTGATATATGCTTCTATTCAAATTACACACTCCTAATCTTAGTTTTATCACTCAGTTTGGGAAGCCTCCACAGCCTCAGGTCAGTGCAGTGTTCTCTTGGGGGTCAGTGCCTATCAGCACAGAAAGACTCAAATTCTCAGCAGCCAGGGTTCCAACACCTCTCCTGAGCAAAGACCTCTGTATTTGCTCTCACAGCTCTCTGGTACATTATAGCCACGTGACAATCAATTAACTGCCCACTCTATCAGAATAAAGAAGCCACCCAACCTTATATAACTCTTTTTAATTGTTTTCTTACATTATAGCATTTTGCTAAACTTATTCTGCCATAATTCACATAATTTAATTTCTCAAAGTGCTAATAAAATAATTGCTTCCTTCCTGTAGACAGAGTGCCTGAAATGTCTTCTCTCATTCAGAACATTATAAAAAGTGGCTGTCATGAATGCTTAAAAGGACTGTTTTATTCACAAGATACAAAATTGTTCTCTCTAGAGTCTGTGTTGTGTCTCAGACAGCCACAAAGGTGCAAGGAACCTACCCAGACACTTCCTTGCACACTTTGACTACCTGCACTGGTGAAAATCACCTGGAGTTGAATATTTCAAATCTGGCAAGTCTCATGAGTGGAGTTCTGTGGGTAGTGGAAACCTCCTGTCCTATTGCCCTTAGAGAACAGCTTGGAAATCAACCACAAAATTCAAATCACAAGTAGATAACTCCATAGTACTTTCAGTTCCCTGCACCATCATGAAACTCAGCAACAAATCCAAAAATGTAACCAGGCAGAGAGAGCAGCCCTGAGAGCAGCTGAGACCGTGTATGCAGCTCTCCAGTGTCTGGGGCTGGCAGAGGAGATGGGGCAGGCACTGACCAGCACCAATCCTGCCTGCAGCTGGGTCAGCTGGCAACTTCTGTGCCTCAGTTTCTCACCTGCAGAGGGGCAAGGCAGTTTGTGGACTTCATAGACACTGGGGACATGCAATTAATTAGAGCCTGCAGCGAGCACCTCAAAGGGGAAAGTATTGGGTTAAATTTTGTTGCAATGGAGGTTGTAGTCATTGCAATCACAGTAATTGCTTTCTTATGATAGTTTGGCACTTTCACTGCTCTAATGGCAGAAATCATAGCAATTTCTCCCTTAAATTCTGTATGTTACCCCTTAAAACAAAGACAGTGAAAGGTGCTCAGGCCATCACTCTGCAGAGTGTTTTGGATCACGGAAAAGTCTGGAAGGCTGGAAGAGGCTCACAGCTGGAGCAGCACAAAGAACACAACGCTGAGAAAACAGCTTGGAGCACGGAGTCAGCATTGCCCAGGAGCCGAGAGGGAGTTGTACCTGTTTGTGGGGAATTTGAAGAAATGCCTGCCTTGAATACCAAATTGTGTTTCTAACAGACACAACCCACCAATCCTTCATATAGGAAAACACAGCAGTGTGAAGCATCCAAAGTCAGGAGTGTGAAGGGAGAACTCTTCAATGTTAGTCAGGTTAATTTTTTACTTAAAAAAAATTATTCCTTCTTTAAGGATTTTTTAAAAAATTTTTCTTTAACTCTGCTCATTTTGATATCTCAGGTTTGAGCTTTTCTATTTTTCAGGTTCTGTGCTGCTTTAGTGTGTGGGTCTGGGCTTCATATGAGGGGATGGTGAGCTCTCTTCACAGAGCAGAGACAAAACAATTCCTTCTCCAGCTGGGGACCAAGGACAAATGATCCAGATCTCAGCCCCAAGAGCACAAACACCGTGGGCTGGAGAGAGAAAAACAAACAGGATGGGACTGCCTGGGCTGGAGCTGGAATGGGACAATGAACTCCAATGTGCAAAAGGAGCAGAACTGATAAAAGTGAGAGACCCCATCACCTGTGGGGCATTTTGTGACCATTTTGCTTCACCTGGGGTGCAGCCCTGGCTGGGCTCTGGTGCTGCCCAAAGTGGATCCATTGAGGCCTCCTGATAAATCCCTACTTTATTCTTTAGTTCCTCCAGTCTCTGTTCTAGGACAGCCTTCTCAAGGCATCAGTTCTGCTTTGGAAGTGATGATCTCCCACAGCTCCACCTGTCTGCACAGTGCTGGCTGGGATTTGCTGCTTCAGCTGGGCTTTGGGTGACTATAGGGACAACCAGAGGCAAACCCAGAGAAATGAGAGGTGCCACCCACAGCAAACGGGATTTTGTCAGGAACACTTCACCGTGCAGCTTTGCTGGGGCACTGAAATGTAAAAAGCAACTGAGGTGGTAAGGGGGTAAGGAAGGTGCTGAGTAATGAGCAAGCAATCAGGGCAGGAGAGGGGAAATTCACTTGTAGAAGAGTCTCAAGCTGCACCGAGGGAAATACAGGTTTGATATTAGGAAAAAGTTTTTCATGGCAAGAGTGATAAAGTACTGGAATGGCCCAGGGAGGTGGTGGAGTCACCACCCCAGGAGGTGTTTAACCAAGGCTGGAGCTGGCACTGGGTGCCAGGGTTTGGTTGAGGTGTTGGGGCTGGCTTGGACTCGATGATCTTGAAGGTCTCTTCCAACCCAGTGATTCTGTGAATTCTGTGAATTCTGTGAAGAGAGTGCAGAGCCAGGGTACCAAAGAAGACCCACAGCTGTTAGCAGGTACTAGCAACTTGGGCCATTATGGTTGAAGTAACCACCAATAAAATCTAATCAATGAAATCCCTTTTAAGTTGGTTGGATCAGTGACCCAGAAAATAGCTCCCCTGCAGAAAAGGAAATGATAGTCTATAAAGTGAGAACTCAATGGGAAAAATCTATTAAAGTGAGCGAGCTATAAGGAGACCTTTGGTGTTAACTGAAACCTTTTGGAAAGAAGCCACAAAAAAACTCAGAGCAGGCTTTTAA